TATTGGAAGGCGGTTCTCAAGTCAAAAAGTCTGTAAGTCAAGTCTCCACTGACCTACAGTGCATTGAAAACCGATTAATCCCGTAACAGGCCATTTTTGTTCCATTTTGGTTTTTTTCTGGTCTGTAAGTCAAATCTCAGTCTGCAAGTCAAACCTAAATTTTGCGGCCAGAGAAGTCTGTAACACAAAAAGTCTGTAAGTCAAGCCGTCTGTAAGTCAAGGGTCCACTGTATGTATTTGAGTTCTATGACATGTACTCAAATACTGTAGAGTAGATCTTTTCCCTCTAATGACTTTGCACATTGGTTGATTGTTCAATGAACTTGCTTGGTCCTACAAACAGGATACTGGCCAGAATCCATAAATGTGAAAACTGGGAGAAAAAAATGGCTGCCTATCATCACTCCAACAACTGTCCTGCCTTTTCAGGTTTTCAGCTACTCAAGTCTACCTTTTTTAAAGAATTGTCTAAGGAGCTCAGGTGGACCTCCCAAAAAGTGATGAGCCTAAAGCAAAGATGTTTCTGCTTGTCTGTAGGCTGCACACATAAGCAAATAATCTAAAATATCTGGGCTGCAACGTATATAGAGAGCATGTATCCAAGCAAGATCCTAAAACTTAATTGCTCTTTTCTTAGTGAAGATTCATATACAATCTGAAGGTTATCCTTTGCTTATTTCACAAGAGGGTGAGATGAACAGTTTTTTTCTGTTTACTCCTCAGAAATCTTACATGAGAAATGCTTTATTTATTCTGGGAATTATTGCATGAAATAACGGGAGTTGCCGAATGCTAAAACATAGCACTGCTGTTGTAAGTCATTTTGAGCAGAGGTATATTTTTTAAAAATAACATGACTCAGTTAAAAATATTGCCCTTGTTCTTGTTTCAGGGACCTCACAGACAGCGTGGCCCCAACTCAGATGGCCAAGTGAGTAAACCAAGTGTTGGGTGTCAGCTTTTCGCAGATCCCCCCTTCCAATAAATATTATGTTGATATGTAAATTCTAGGATCACAATCCTGTTTCTACTCCTAGTTGGAGTAGATGCATTGAAGCAAATGGATGTCCACATATACTGCCTGATGATTTAGCCATTGAGTCTATGAATCTATGCATCTATGCTTGCTTGGGTCTAGCAAAAAGGTACCAGGCAGTATGCATAAAAGTAAATTTTGGTGGCCCACCTTGGCATCAAGTACTGTAAAGCCTCTTTTACGATTATGGAGGAGGCTCAAGTGGGCTATTCCAGTTTATACTGGATTCTTTATAAAGCAGATTCAATGGAATCAATAGGACTTTAAGAAAAGGATGACCAACAGTTGTTTTCAAGTTTCATGACATGTGATGTGTGGCATGTAAGAGGCGGGTATGGCAGACCGACAGCACCAACCGTCCTGGGCCTTTCGGTAACAGTTGCTGCCATTGACCATTGTTTGGCCTCTACCGATATGCGAAAAACTCTCAGTTGCTCATCTGTGTTGTGACAGTGGGAACACTGAAGTACACTATGGGAATTTCCAGTGGAGGATTCCAGTTCACAAGGAGAGAGAACACCTACACTCCTAACCAACTATACACTTAGAATGTAGAATTTCAAAGCACTGGTCTTGGTGAAGACACCACGTTCCATGAAATGCAAGGGCAATCATTATACATTGCTATGCCTCAAAGAGATCTTCTGAAAGGCCTTTTGACATTCTTCATATAGAAGACTTTGCAAAGAGAGGAAAGCCCCATGCAACATGGCTAGAGAGGGATGGCTAGCCGCGCCCCTCCCCTAATGGCTTTGACTAACCAAGCAGTGAGAAGGCTGAAGAGAAGTCTCTGCTTGGCTTTACATATGAACAAGAAAGGTGGAAAATCTGGCTTGCAACTTTCATGCAGAGCCTACAGACAAGCAGGAACCTTCTATTCTCATTCATCACTGGTCACACAGGTGAAGCAACATGGAAAGGAGCAGGATTAGTTGCCCTTTCTTATCTGTCTTGACAATGCTGGGTTTGGAAAAGATGGAGCATGGCATAAATTAGTCTTTAATTGTAAATCGATATATTTGAAGTGAAGTAGTTTATATTCATCTTTGGAATGAATGAATTAAAGAATGGCAGTAACTGAATGTTCATACATAGCACAGTTGTGTAAGATGTTCCTTACCAGTGTTGTATGTTATTTTAAATTGAATACAATTGAATTCAGAGTATTGTTCTTCTTCTTACTCTAGGGACAGCGTGGTCAGAATGGTGGACGAGTGAGTATAGCAGATCCACATTCCTAACTTATTACATTCAGAATTTAGGAGCACTGCTTTTAGGTAGACAATTGGGGTTCATAAAATAAATGGGTTAATATTATATTTTATTGCGCTCCAGAGAGATCTTCTGAAAGGGCCTGTAACATAGTCCATTGGGGACACTGGGGAAACAGAGGAAAGCCTTAGGTAAGGGAGGAGTGACTAGCTGTGCTTTTGCCCTGATATCTTTGACCAGCCAAGGAGCGATGAGCTTGAAGCCTAGATGTTTCTGCTTGGATGAAGGCTCGACACATGAGCAAGGAATTTGAAATATCTGGGTTGTAACTTACATGTAGAACCTACACCCAAGCAGGAGCCTTTCAACGCATCATTGCCCACTTGAGGAAAGCAACGAGAAAGGTGACTGGGGTAGCTGCCCTTCTCTATCCTTTTTGACAATGTTGGGTTTCATGAAATCAGAATAGAGTCAGTTGGCTTTGTACTTGACACATGGGTTTTCTCATAAAGCCTTCACAATATTTAAAATACATTTTGAATATATTTAATAATTTTTGCTAGAGGGTGGATCGATTATTTGTTCTTATGTACTGCTGATTCCTCTGAAGTCTTAAATGTGCAGTGGAATGGTTGCAGGAAATAACTGAACTAAATGCTCACTACAGCACTACTATTATAAGTAATTTTCACACATGAGCAAGGAATCTGAAATATCTGGGTTCTAACTTACATGTAGAGCCTACACCCGAGCAGGAGCCTTTCAACTCATCACTGCTCACTTGAGGAAAGCAATCAGAAAGGTGACAGGGGTAGCTGCCCGTCTCTATCCTTTTTGACAATGTTGGGTTTCATGAAGTCAGAACCAAGTCAGTTGGGTTTGTACTTGGCACATGGGTTTTCTCATAAAGCCCTCACAATATTTAAAATACATTTTGAATACATTTAATAATTTTTGCTAGAGGGTGGATCGATTATTTGTATTGTTGATTCCTCTGAAGTCTTAAATGTGTGGTGGAATGGTTGCAGGAAATAAGTGAACTGTAAATGCTCACTACAGCACTACTATTATAAGTCATTTTTATCAGATTTCTATGGTATTCTAAATATAATACAGTGGTGCCTCGCATAACGAGCGCACCGTTTAACGACGAATCCGCATAGCGATCTATTTTTTGGGATCGCTGATGCGATCGCATTGCGATGTTTTAAATGGTAAAACATCGCTTTGCGAAACGCTTACCGATCTTCGCATTGCGATGTTTTTAGAACAGCTGATCGGTGGTTGCAAAATGGCCGCCGGGTGCCCAAAATGGCCACCGCAAGCATTTTTGCGGGGTTTCCTCGCTTACTGAGGTGGCGAAAATGGTGACGCTATGGAGGATCTCCGCATAGCGGTGAGTTTGCGCACCATAGGAACGCATTAAACAAAGTTTAATGCATTCCTATGGGGTTTTTAGTTCCGTTTAGCAATGTTTCCGAATAGCGACGATTAATCCAGAATGGATTATCGTCGCTATCCGGGGCACCACTGTACTATGATTTAATTAACAATATCGTTCTTGTTCCTGTTCTAGGGACGTAATGGAGAGAATGGTCCTGGATTTGGTGGCCCAGTGAGTATGGTGTGGTTTATCAGCTTACCACTTATCACCTTTGATGTTACTCCTATTTAAGTTGTAAGATAGCTGGCAGGATAGTGGCAGCTATCTTTCAAATACTGTTATTGTTTTCAAGTACTGTTCAAGTCCTGGGCTTACCTCTGTGATAGAGAGAATGTGGAAATACATTATGACAGTGATTCCCAACCTTGGGTAACTCAGGATACTGTTCAGGTCCTGGGCTTACCTCTGTGATAGGGAGAATATGACAGTGCTTCCCAACCTTGTTCTTGGACTGCAACTCCCAGAAATCCTGGTGGTGACGTTTTCTGAGAATTGCAGTCCAAGAACAGCTGGGTTGTCCAAGGTTGGGAACCACGGGACTCAACCCTGGAAATTCCAACTGATCATGAGAAAAGCACCTCTATACTTCCAGTCCAGTACATTTAGAATTGAGAAGCTCTGCTTGTCATGTTCCATAAAATGAAAAGATAATCAGTTTTCTTGATGCTCCTGGAGAAGATCTCCCAAGGGACTTCTAAAGTTGTCTATATGGAACACTTTGAAAAGAGAGTTAAACCCCTGTTAATCATAGAGAGAGGGATGGGTAGCTGTACACCGGCCTTACTGCTCTGCCCACCCAAGCAGCGATGAAACTGAAGCAGAGATGTTTCTGCTTAGAAGCAGCCTCCACAGATGAGCAAGAAGCCTGGAAAGTCTGGGCTGTCATTTTCTTGTATAGCCTACAAACAAGTCTCGTCTTCAGATACATCATTATTTGCATAAGGACAACAACAAGGCAAACAGCAGGGCTAGCTGCCCTGCTTTATGCATCTTGATGATGATGGATTCCAGAAAGTCTGAATAGGATTAAGTTGCTTTGTACCTGCATACAGTTTTTAGCATGTAGTCTTCACAGTTATTAAACCCATATCTTTATTTCTGCAGAAGGTGGAGTAATTATTTATTCACATTTACACACCACTACTGAGAAACCTTAGACTTTGAATGGGAACAACTGAGTGCCTACACAAGATCCTTTGGCTTATAAGGATTTACACAAATGTTGTGTTGCTTCTTGTTCTAGAGAAATCCTGGCCAGAATGGTCCCAGATCTGGTGGTGGCCGAGTGAGTCATTGGCCATTCAATACTCGCTACATTCAATGCATAATGTTGTGTTGCTTCTTGTTCTAGGGAAATCCTGGCCAGAACGGTCCCAGATCTGGTGGTGGCCGAGTGAGTACAGAAAGTTTTTCTGCTTACCGCATATTGTCTTTGAAATGGATATTACCCTATTTTCTGTGTATAAGACACCCCCATATAAAAGACGCCCCCCCACTTTTCTAACCCCAAATTAAGAAATCTAAGTGGGGCGTAGCAAGTGCAGGGGGAAAGGGATAAAAGTGCTGCAGGATCGCTTTGATCCCTGCTTTCCCCTCCACTCGTTTTTGTTCTCTCCTCAGCTTACTTCTGCGTATAAGACAACCCTCAATTTTTAATCTAAAGATTTTAGACAAAAGTATAGTCTTATACACTGAAAAAATATAGTATATCTACCTTAATTCTATGGCCACTATAATGTGCTGACCATTCAGCCATTGACTGAATGACACTGTGCTTCCTTGAGCCTAGCTCATAGTTTTCCAGCCAGAACCCATACAAGACAATGTTGCTGCATATCATCATCCCAGGAAGCATTTGCCCCTTTTCAGGTCTTCAGCTATATGGATTGTCTATGGGTCTCATGTGGGCTATTTCATTGTGGTTAGTATTGCACCTAAATCAGACTCACTGAAATCAATTGAACTTAAACATGAGATAACCAACCATTCTCTTTGAGCTTCGTGGCATGTAAGATGTGAGGGCTAAGGGTCAGGTCTGGCTGAAGAATAAGAGCTACCACCATCGTTGACCTCTAGCAGCAGTGGTTTGCACTGATGGTTGTTAGTGGTCCAGTGGTACCTGGAAGGATCCAAGTTGCTTCTCCTTGCATTAGAGAAAACATTGAAATCACTGTGAAGAAAGTCACTAAATAATTATCCCTCTCCTTCTTGCTCTAGGGAAATCGTGGCCAGAATCATCCCAGCTTTGATGCCCCAGTGAGTATTGCATGTTTAAAGCATAGTTCTACCAATCACAGTCCTACTGTCCTACCAATCCACTTGTTAATTTTAGGGTTGGTTGGTGAAGTTTTTTTTAAAATTTCATTTAGTCTTGTCTTGATGAGAAGTCTTGTCTGGATGATGAGAAGTTTTGTTTCCTGCTCCCTTAAAAACAAACAAACACATAAATCCCTTTCTATGCTGACGATGCAGATGTTTGTAATGCTTGTAAACTCTTAGAAACATGACACATGTACGTTTTGCATGAAGCATGGAGACTAACAGGAAAAAAATTGAATCATTTGAGTTATTGTAAGTGAGGAGCTCTCAAAATTGTCATCATGGTGTCTTGGGAGGCTGAGACACCCTAAACCAGCCATTCTCAATTTTTTTCTGGCCATGGCCCTAAGCACAATATGAAAGAAATTTAGCTTGAATCGTGACTACATAAGTCACACAAGGAACCTTATAAGGTGATATGTGATGAGTTGTTTTCAGTTTGTGGCCCGCTTCAAATGTGTCCAGGGGGGCAAGTGGCCCCTGTTGAGAATGGCTGCCCTAAACCAAGCAAGGTGAGGAACACAATGAGTATTTTTCAAATCACAAGGGAGAGCGCTTCATTTCCTGGTGCCTGAAATCAATTTATTTTTTCTTTTGCTCCCACTGCTCTCTGAAATGCATTGATGTCATGTGTTAATCACAAATATACAAAACCTGTTTGTAATGATGTTCCATTTTATGGAAAGAGGAAGGCAAAATGGCCAAGATCCTGCTGACATTTTAGGCTGGTAAAATGCAATTGTCTTAGACTTTGGTGAAATGGGTTAAATTAAGAAGTTAGAGTAAGCTTTGCTGCTTTATGCCAGGTAAGCAAGTAGAACAAACAGGATTTGGATCTATTTCTGTAGGATTTGGGATTATTTTCTGTAGGGTGGATCTGGCTTTGTTCCTCCCTCCTGTTGCCCTGTTCCCTTTAAGAGTATGGGCTATCAGCAGAAACTTCCCTTGGAAAACAACTGCGAGTATCCATCAATTGAACACTAAAGGGAATTCCCTGTGATCCATCCATTTTTAACTGTGTCAAATCAAAGTCTTTTGCCACAAGGGGGAGCACCTCTCCTTAAATATGTGCTATATATAAGCTAGTTGGATAATTAGGAGGTAGGTGTAAGAAACACTGGCTTGACTGGATTAATCCCAAAAAGGAATTAAAATTGCCAGAAGAAATATCAATAACCTCAGATATGCAGGTGATACCACTCTGATGGCAGAAAGTGAGGAGTAATTAAAGAAACACTTAATGAGGGTGAAAGAGGAGAGTGCAAAAAATGGTCTGAAGCTCAACATCAAAAAAACAAACAAACTAAGATCATGGCCACTGGTCCCATCATCTCCTGGCAAGCAGAAGGGGAAGATATGGAGGCAATGACAGATTTTACTTTCTTGGGCTCTGTGATAACTGCAGATGGAGACAGCAGCCACGAAATTAAAAGATGCCTGCTTCTTGGAAGGAAAGCGATGAGAAACCTAGAGAGAATCTTAAAAAGCAGCGACATCACCTTGCCGACAAAGGTCCGCATAGTCAAAGCTATGGTTTTCCCAGTAGCGTTGTATGGAAGTGAGAGCTGGACCATAAAAAAAGGCTGACTGCTGAAGAATTGATGCTTTTAAATTGTGGTGCTGGAGGAGACTCTTGAGAGTCCCCTGGACTGCAAGGAGATAAAACCCTATCCGTTCTGAAGGAAATCAACCCCTAGTGTTCCCTGGAAGGACAGATCCTGGAGCTGAGGCTCCAATCCTTTGGCCATCTCATGAGAAGAGAAGACTCCCTGGAAAAGACCCTGATGTTAGGAAAGTGTGAAGGCAAGAGGAGAAGGGAACGACAGAGGATGAGATGGTTGGACAGTGTCATCGAAGCTACCAAAATGAATTTGACCCAACTCCTGGAGGCAGTGGAAGACAGGAGGGCCTGGCATGCTCTGGTCCATGGGGTTACGAAGAGTCAGACACGACTTAACGACTAAACAACAACAATAAGGAACACTCTTGACAGAAAAAATGACGTACAGTATTTGAATAGAAAAGTGACTCTTGTGTTTTTCTTTTTAGCCTCCTGAAAGTCAACCAGGAGAGGTAAATATTGCGATTTTTCTGTCCAGGGGCAGCTCAAACAGTTTGTGCTTGCCTGGTTATTCTAATGTCAATAAGTACAATTATAAATAGTGATATAAAGCAAACTGCAAAAGGAGTTCCTTAATCTGAAGTTTTTTCTTTTGTGGGCATTGAACTACATTCAAGGTTCTTCCCATCTAGAGTAATCCCACAGAAATAATTAGGACCTCTTGACCACAACGAACATCAATCCCATTGATGTCAGTGGATCTCCTTTCTGTAGAACTTCATCAAGAAGAAATTCTTTATCAGCAGTAATACACTTGGCCAGAGCTTAAGCTGTATTAATGACTGTAATGTAGTAAGAGATCCCCTGTTTCACTCCGTAGTCATTTTAATTACATTTCTACTTACACAAATATGGCTTCATTATGCATTTGGAAGGCAATGAGTTCCAACTGTCAAGAAGAAATTCTTTACCAGTAGTAATGCACTTGGCCAGAGGTTAAGCTATATTAACGACTGTAATGTAGTAAGAGATCCCCTGTCTCACTCTTTCATTTTAACTACTTTTCTACCTACACAAATATGGCTTCATTATGCATTTGGAAGGCAATGAGTTCCAACTTCGCTATTCATGATTCTATGATCCCATTCTGACCTTTGAAAAAACAGAAATAAGAGTATCTGTCTTAGTTACCGTATTTTTCGCTCCATAAGACACACCTTTCCATAAGACGCACCAATTTTTTAGCAGAAGAAAACAGGAAAATATAATCTGTTTTCTTCGCTCCACAACTTCGCTATTCATGATTCTATGATCTGATCCCATTCTTTGAAAAAACAGAAATAAGAGTATCGTCTTAGTTACCTTTGAATAATGAGAAAGCAAAAGGAGGAACTACAGCCCACTCCCATCTCTTTCTAGCAATTCCATAAGGAACTAATAATGAGAAAGGAAAAGAAGGAACTACGGCCCACTCACATCTCTTTCTAGCAATTCCATAAGGAACTTTTCTCATGGTTTCAAAAGTGTTGAACTTCACATTTTGTGCTTTCTCTGAGGCCATCACCTGGATTTTGCTTTTTCTAGGTTCCATTATACTGAACTGCTTACCTAGGAATCCATTCAGGTGAGACCAGTTGCCATCTTTGGTCCACCAGACCGAAGGTGGACGAATCCTTCAGTTTCATTTTCTCACACCTGTCATGCTTATTTCTTTTAACCTCAAATTATTTCTGCCTCAGATATGGAGAAATAAAGCACGCTTGGGTAAATGCTTGTCAGAAAGGGGCTGAAGCAAAATTCTCACTTATCCAGACCAACCCAAAATTCAACACACACAACTCTTGTCAGAATTGAGAGGGCTGTGTTTCATCTCTCTAACCACATAACTGCTGAACATGGATGCCTTTTTTAAAAAAAGAGAGGCACCAATCCATAGTTGAATGTTAACCTTCGAAAGCTACCCCTTGAAGTATCCTCTTCCTCACTTTGCATTCAGAAGAACCCTACAAGATAGGGAAGCTGAGTGAAGGACTGATCCAAAATCAGTTTTGTGTGAGTTTCAGGGCTGAATAGCTTTTTCGGACTGGGCCTTCCAGAGCCCTGTTTAGTGATTCTAAAATGACAATTTGTCAGTTTATTTATTCATTTAAAATATTTTTTTACCCCGCCTTTCTCCTTGAAAAGGACCAAAGGCGGCTTACAACAATGAAAGATGATATTTAAAGTTGAAAACATTGAGTGTACAACGGTGGTTAACATAGTTAGAAGACTACATATTATTTTATTTACCTACTTATTATCCAGCCGTGGCAATGTACAAATGTAGTAAAATTCACAGTGTGCAAATATTTAAAAACATTATCTAAAAACTATAAATCAGATTTTGAAAGATCTCCCCATTTCAGTTGCCTCATCACTTCTCAAAACCTACTAAATGATTTCATCCATGACTTTGCAGTAGGAAAAGCAAGAAAGGTTTATTTTTATGGTACAGAGTGTGGTCCCTTTCTTTCCAACTTCTTAGTTTTTCTTTGCCTACTTTGGATTGCAACATGTGAATGCTAGCAACGCATGAAACAAATTAAAACAAGAAATGAATGAGATGAAGAGGAACTGTCTTTTCACCCATCTTTTCATATGTTTGATTTTTTAGATCTGCCGGTTGGAGATGCTGTGAAGAAATGGCAAAACTGATTGCTACATTTTCCATCAACACATTTCCACCAACACATTGCTTTACCAAAAAAAATCATAATAAAAAATTAAAAGCATACAATTACATTGTCTCTTTAATTGTTTTGTAGGCTTAATTTCACATTTTTCCAAAGCGAGGTTCAGTCTGTTCAAACGCAGTGACGTATCTGTAAGATCAAAACCTGACCAGAGGAAGGGAAAATTTAAGTATACACTCCCAATCAAAATGATTTCTGGGCTTCTGCACATAATAGTGTGCCATTTTCAGAGGTTAATGGATACTGCACACCTATCTCAGGACCTTAGAAAATTGTTCCAATTCCTTAAAAAGATTTTCCCTTCCTTTTTTTTCTATAGATAAAATCCTCTTGCATTTTCTACTGCGAAGTTTTAAAAAGAATTGGGGTTTGGGAACAAGTGCACTGGGGCCATCAAAACATGGTCGTGGTGCCTCCCTGCTGCATCCCACAGAGGGCAGAAGTGCAATTATTCAGTCACTTTTTTTCTAGAAAACAGAACCTTCTATTTGCCAGTAGGGGAATTTTTTTCTAGCAATTTTGGGGGTGTGAGTGGGGTGCCCCGGTGGTACTGGCAGACTTTAGGACCAATCCGTACACAATGAGTGACAGGCAACCTAGCAGGCAACTTGGAAGTCCCCAGACAAGACTTCCCATATTGCAAGGTAGAATGTGACAGCCATCGCTGGTGGCAGCAAAGTGTTGGAGAAAAGAACTGCATGTCACGTCACCTGCTGTGAATCTTCTAACACAGCATACAGTGGTGCCTCACTACACAGTTACCCCGCATGACAGTTTTTTCGCTAGACATTGACTTTTTGTGATCACTATAGCGATTCTCAAAACAGTGATACCTATGGGGGCATTTCACTGGACATTGTTTGGTCCCTGCGTCGCAAACCAGTTTTCGCTAGACGACGATTTTGACAGCTCTCTCCATGCTCGCAAAACAGGTGTTTTCGGGACCTAAGCTTCGCAAGGCAGCAATTTAAACAGCTGATCGGCGGTTCGCAAAGCGGCTTTCCTATGGCCGATCTTTGCTAGACAACAATGATTCTTCCCCATTGGAATGCATTAAGCAGGTTTCAACGCATTCCAATGGTGAAATGCTTTTCGCTAGACAATGATTTCGCTAAACAGCGATTTCAGTGGAACGGATTATCATCATCTAGCGAGGCACCTCTGTAAGATCAAAGGACATGAAACCTTTGGTATTGTTAATGCTGAAAAGAGATTCCGTCAATTTTTAAACGTGAAAACAGGAATGAGGGCGCCACCATTCTTTTTGATTTAGACAACAAAATGTTTTGAGCTTCCAGATATTTTGGACTACAGTTCCCATAAGCCTCAGCAAGAGCAGCCAATGATCAAGAATTATGGTCATTGGAGTCCAAAAGTCCTGGAGAGCAACAGATTGGTTCCCATTGCTGTGAAACATGGGCAGATGCTGAATTTAATACCCCTTTCAATACAGAGTCCATAGGTTGGTTGCATATAAGAAGCAGACAAAATATGCATGTAAGGTTGTGAGACTTGAACACTTTTGCTCTCGGAGAGGAACAGAGGGGGCAGATCTGTCTTTCCTCCCTGGAGCAAAGACAAATTTTTATCTTTTTGTGCAAGATCTCCACCCTCACAAGCAAAGAAAACTTATGGGAGAATTCATGACATGTGAGATTATGTTGGATTATTGCAACTACTGCACTCTCTGCTGCTCAGAAATCAACCAGAAAGGACACCAGAATTGCCAGCCCAAGCAGGTCTACTGCAGTTTCTGTGCAGAACTGGATCTTTCCTGCAAAGCCTGCATGGGGAAAAGCTTCATGCTGTGGGCTAAACCGCAGAAGCCTCTCTGCTGCAGGGTCAGAAAACCAGCCGTCGTAAGATTGAATCCATGCGACGGAGTGAGCTCCCATCGCTTTGTCCCAGCTCCCGCCAACCTAGCGGTTTGAAAGCATGCAAATGCAAGTAGAAAAATAGGTACAACCTTGGTGGGGAGGTAAAATGGTGTTCCCTAGTCATGTTGGCCACTTTTGCTCCTAACACCGAGAGAGGCCTGGAAAGAAGAACAAGAAACCAGGCCTTCTCGGCAGTGACCCCTCGACTTTGGAATAGCCTGCCGTCAGAGATCTGCCTGGCACCCTCGGTGGGTGTTTTAAAGAACCAATTAAAGACTCTTTAGGCAGGCCTTCCCTCCTGCCAATACTTGATTTTTACTTTTTACTTAATATTTTGTTTCATATTCTCCATCTTGATTAATATTAATATTGTCAATGCAAATTGTTGTTTTAATTGTTTTTATGAATAATTTATTGTGAGCCGCCCTGAGTAGACATATGTCTAGAAGGGTGGGATAAATAAATAAATAAATAAATAAATAAATAAACAAACAAACAAACAAACAAACAAACAATACATACATACATACATACATACATACATACATACATACATACATACATACATACATACATACATACATACATACATAAACTGTGGCTTTTTCCCGTGATGTTTGTACACTTCCACTACGTTTGTATTCTCCTCAGCACTCTCCTCCACTGCTTTGCTTTGGTTTTCTTCCATCTCCAGCACTTTATATACAGTAAAAGAACATGAAGTTTAAAGCCAAAATTCCCAAATGAAGAAACAAGCATCATTCTGGGACTTCTAAGATGCTACGTCATTCATTTAAGAGTTGTAAGAGCATCAGGCAGCCTCTCTTATCCAGCATTCTCTTCCCCAATAACCAAACATTTTCCTTTCTGTCAGAAGCCTACAAGCAGAATGTAAATATTAGTATCCTCCCACTATGTCCCCTATAACTTGTACCCAGATATTCTTGTTGTACTGATACTCAAGTTGTAGTGATAGCCACCCACATGGTTTGCTTTAAGAACATATTGCACAAAGTCATACATGACGAAGCAATTTATGGCTGCTTTTCATGAGCCGTCTCTGTTTCACCAGCCCCAGAATATGTACTTCTATATATCAATTGATGAGAGTCACAAGTGGATTCGTTTGCTGTTGCAACCCTTGCTCTTCCCAGAGTCATCTGGCTGGCTACCGTCTCATGATCTTCTCTTCTTGATATGGAACAGCTTGGATTACAGGAACAAGTCACACAAGTCTGATATTGCAGACCCAGTCAAATCAACATTCCGTAAGTCATGCCTAAGAGGAGGTGGCAGTCCAAAGAACCCAGCACTGCAGCCATAAGAGTGATTGTAGACTGTATGGGCTTGCTCTGTGTCAAATTTGAAGGTTGGATAAACACATTTAATTGTCTGATTTCTGATTTTTTTTCAAAGAATTTCTAGTAGTCCTCATTGACACTAAGCAATACATTTTGCCCATAGTGAGCTTGTCATTATTTTTTCAACTGCCAAGCACTGCTTTCTTGAATGGAATTGATTCCTCACACAATCTTCTCTTGGATCAGCTTGAACTCTCCTGTCGTGTAAAATTGGGGTCATCAAGCCTCAGTCAGTGGCCCGATGCCAGTCCGTGCGCTTGCCGGAATTGGGTCGTAAATACAGATCTCTGCCACCCCGCACACATGCGGGGTGGGCGTGTCGTGCCCGCGGTGGGCGTGTTCCGCTCACACGGTGGGTGTGTTGCACCTGCGGTAGGCATGTCACACTTGCGTGAGGGGCATGTTGCACCCGCGGTGGGCATGTCGCGTCCCCACACACACACGGAGCTCTCTCCCCCCAGCTGGTCCACAGCCTCAAAATAGTTGGGAACTGCTTATTTAAAAGATACAGGACCTAAACGATGCTTATTTGATACAAGAAAATATTCATAAAGCATAGCTAGACATGTTCACTGAATTTTTCATTGCCATTGCCCAAACTTCTTGAAAGTACCTCGGGAAACAAATGAGTCTCACTGAGGTTCTGGGCAAGAT